TGAAAGAGCTCTGTGAGTTCCCAGTGGAAAGACAGGGCCATCAAAGAAGGAGGTACCTTTCGAAGGGAGGAGATGACTTCCACTTTGATTATGGCCCTGTCTACATAAGGTTGGAGTTTGTGGACTCAAGAGGCTTCCACAGCCTTGGCAGCTCATGACAAGAGCCTCGGGTGACCACTGACATCATAAATAAGAGTGTCAATTGTTAAATCAACAATAGGAGTCACTGTGCACTTGCTCCCCATGTAGGACCTCTGTCCTTAATGTGTTGTACTATGAGAATTAACTGTAAAAATAGTCTTCAAACAGTACTTTATACTTTGTGTGTCTTTACTTAGTATAGAGTTGATCTTCTGTATATAAAGATAATTAAAAATGAATCTTAATGAAGAATGGGATGGAAGAGGGAGTAGGAGGTGGGACGGTTTGGGGGTGGGAGGGAGGGTATGGGGTGAAGAACCACTATAATCCAAAAGTTGTACCTATGAAATTTATGTTTATTAAATAAAAGCTTCCTATAAATAAATAAATAAATCTTTAAAAAATAAAAATAAAAAGCCAGGCTGTAGTTATGGAAGGATACTAAAATATAATGTGAACAGATTGAGGGCAAGATAGGAACACATTAGTTAAAAGATCTAAAACTAACAAAGGATTGACATCTACAGCACAGGAAGAAGTTTACAAATCAATAAGAAAAAGACAGTGACTTGAAATAGAAAAACAAGCAAAGGACATGAACAAGCAATTAACAGAAGAGGAAGTCCAGGAAATGACCAGGCATATGCAAACGTGCTCAAATGCATTCATTATCATAGAAATGCAAAGTAAAACAACGAACCATGATTTTGTATCTATTAGACAGGCAAAAAATTACAAATCTGAAAAACAGAGTGGGCTGATCGGCCACGCTGGGCAAAAAAATGAGAGCATAGGCGTGACCAGCAGTTCTTCCAGTAGGTACCTTCCAAAGAAATTCCCACACAGGGAGACACGTGCGCAGATGTTCACGGCGCTGTAGTTGGTGCTGAGGAGGAACTGGGGGCGTAAGAAGATGGAACACATGTTTGTAAAACCAGATATACAGCGTGGTACCCCAGGAGGTACGCCGTAGTCAGAAGCCATGGTCTAGAAGCTCACAGAACCACAAGGATCTCTTGACCCAGTGCTGAGGAAGCAAAGCAAGCAGCAGAACAAGACACGCAACCATCCAAGTGACTTAAAAACACAGGTGGGTTGAAGCCCCACATGTTAGAAGTTCACACTGGAGTGGGGGGTCTACAGGGCCAAAAAAGGGAAGTTAGGAGAGAAAGCAATCAAAAGGGAAGAAAGGAATAAATGAAATGAAATGAAAAAAGAGAGTGAATGAACAGGAACAGGAACAGGGGAGTAATTCTACCCCCAGGCCTGACATCCAAGCAGAACAGAGAAGAAAAGAGGACAGGAAAAGGGTTGGGCAAAAATGTGCATATATTTAAGTGCTGCCATCCCCTTCTTGGCAGCCGGGCCACTTGGAAAATACCAGCAGCTGACAGGCATTATTTATGGCCCATCTGACCACTGGCACTGTCCGCCTTGGGAGAAACTCTGAGATGAAAGTGGCTAATTCAGAAGTATCCCCAGCAACTTCTCTTCTGCTATCTGCCCCTTCTTCAAAACATTCTGGCTCTGTGATAAAATGTTTGCATGCAAATTTCTACCAAAATATTTCCAAGACAAGAAGGAAAATCTGGAATTTGTGTGCATACACATTTGGAATTTGGTTAGGGAGAAAAAATAAACAATGTTCAGTCTGAAATTTATCAGACGTCTTACCTTTAAAAGAATTTAAAGAGGCTGGCAGAACCACAGCCCGGGCAATCACGCCACCTGTGGCAGATAGCACTCACAGCTCACGGGGCTGAAACTGCAAATGACTGCACACAAGAGACCCAAGTCCAGAGCCTCACTGCATAGGGGGAGCTAAGGCACAGAATGATGTAGAAAAGGAGTCCTAGCGGCCAAAGGGAGGCAGCACCAGTCCAGACCACCGCTTTGGCTTTGCCAGCTTGGAAATGAGTGTCAACTAATACCATGGAAAAATGACTCCTCAGGGCTGGGGTTGTGGCATATCAGGTTAAGCTGCCATCTCCAATGCCGCCATCCCATATGGACACCGGTTGGAGTCTTGGCTGCTCTATTTGATCCAGCTAACGGCCTGAGAAAGCAGATGAAGATGGCTCAAGTCCTTGGGCCCCTGCATCCATGTGGAAGACCGGGATTGAAAGTCCTGGCTCCTGGCTTTGGCCTCGCCCAACCATGGCTGTTGTGGTCAACTGGGGAGTGAATCAGCAGATGGAAGATTCTCTCTCTCTAACTCTGCCTTTCAAATAAATAAATAAATCCTTTAAAAAGGAAAAATTACGGATATCTGAAGTGCTCCTGAAAAAGTGGTTGGTACTTGTTAACCTACCTTTTTTTCTCCTGCTTACTGGATGAAAGTAAACAACTGAAGAATCACTGGACACCAGCACAAGCAACTCCCCAGCTCTGAATAACACCACGTGGGAAGAAAATGTTCCAAGGGTCTAGCTTTTCCAAAATGGAACTCTTCATAACGTTCTTTTCTGAAGGGTGGTAGAATGTTCTTATGTTTATCAGTAGAGCCTCTGGAGCCAGAAAAAACTTAGACCATACTGTGTCCCCTCAACTGAGTAGCCCCAACTTCCACAACTGCATATTAGGTCAAAAACACCTCAGAGGGTGCTGGAACATTAAATGAGCTAACGTATACAGTGCACCCCTACTGCCTGACATGCAGCAGGTGACTACTTAATGCTATCTATTAATAACTATGATTGCAGACAACGTAAACTACAGAAAAATACTGAATTCAGTAGAAGGGCAGTACCTCCCAAAACTCCACCCTCCAGCCAGACATAAGAATCTGATAACTCTATCTCCACTTATGTTTCAAACAGCAAGAGGAGTCAAATAATTCATTTTACTACTAAATGTTGCGCGATAGCCTAATTTTTAAAACATTCAATTAACAATACACTACAGGTGCTATTTCTGCAAATGCATTTCTTTCATTTTTTTCAGAGTGCATACAATTCCATGGTTTATCTACCAGATCCTTTGGACGTGTAGATTGTTTCCAGTTCTTGGCTATTATTCCCAGTGCTCCAATAACATCTTTATTGCACAAACATCTTTGCACTTGTCTGTTTCTTTAGGACAAACTGTTGAGTTGAAACATGCTCACTTTATGAAGGCTTCCATACGCCTTACAGAAATGGCAGAGCCAGCTGGCATGTCAACCAGCTCAACCACGGCCATTCTTCCATCTATTGGCACTGCAGCAGACGGAAGCAGGCTCAGCAGGCCACAAGGTGCACAAGGGACTTTCTGCCCGGGGGTCTCCCTTAACTACAACCCATCCCTCACAGCTCCTGGGTTCTTTATTACAGACGCAGGGTGCTGCAGGTTGGGACCTGGCGTGGGCATCTTTGAATCTGGCCTGCTTGGCATCCAGCCCCTCTTGTCCTGGTGGCGTCCCCGACTTCCCTTTGGGAAACTACCCAGCTCCAGTTTTAAGCAGGACTCACGAAAATGTCAGTCAAGCTGTGTTGTTTTCAGCTTGGGTGGGCCCAAGCTAGACCAATTTGATGGAATCTGAATCTTCTGCAAAGTGAGGCAAGGAATACAAACAGCTGAGAGCTTTATCATCATGCAAATACTATCCAGAAGGCTCTTTCTCACTGGCTCCTGGCTGTTGTGTCTCCAGAGCTGGTCTGTCTTCAAGCCTGGTTCTTCAGCTCCTCCGGCCACACTGTGAGCCACCCTGTGGCCTCTCATATTCCTCTACTGTCGCTACTGTTGCTTTTGCTGCTGTCGCTTTATCTACGTAGACCACAGTTGACTTCAGTTGTTCTAAAACAATCCTATGTGATCTATGGGAGCTGGGAGAGAATGATTTGTTTCCCTATTAAAAAATGTTTTCCCTTGCTCAATTTTTGGGAGAAAAAATTGTTTCTCATCCTGTAAATGCCACTCAACCTACCAACAGCAGCCATTTGGAATTATTTAATATTTTACATTAAACTCTGGGTAAAATCTTCATTTCATAAAGATTGAAAGGAGAGACATAAACTCTCTTTTATGGGCTTTTCCAAAAACTAGTTCATCCTTTTGTCCACATGAAGAGACACCCTTCTGTTAATTTTCCTAACACAGCTGGATTTAGTGGGAGGGCTACCTTGGGACTTTTCTCCGGGCAGACTTTATAGGATTTCCTTTGTATCCCTGCAGCAGCCTGGAAGGGATTTGGTTGTTCTCCTGTGCACCAGAGCAATAATCAGCCCAGCACTTTCCTAGCAGCAACGTCATTTGAATCCCATGGCCGCCACGAGGTTATAGGTGTAGCCTTGGAAATCACAATTCACCAGAGTGCTCAGAGCCAGCAGCGGGAGGAACACACTATGCACTCCACACAGGCTGTCCAGGAACATGTCCATCAGACAGGAGTATCACGACAGGATCACCATCTCCAAAGGAGGTCATGAGGAAAACAGGGTTATTAACCAATCACCTAAGGCAGTCACTGTGTCTCCAGCCCTTTGATTGAGGCTGTGCAGGAGGCAAGAGCACCTCTGGCTTTTCCCCAGGATAAGGTTCTGGAGGAATTGGGTATTATTGGATTAAGCGCCTTTTAAGTGGTGACTGGAGCTGCCATATTAGGAAGACCTAGGATTAAGTGAGATAATACACATGAGAAGCTTTGTAAAGTGTGAAGGGCCACGTAAATGTAAGGTGTCATTGCCGCCTTGCCAGCCGGGCTCACTGAATGCCCCTCTGCAGCCAGTGATGTGGAAAGTCTGGGTGGAAACATCTCGGTGCTGTACTAGGGAAATGGGGCTGCCCCAACATGCCCACAGCACCTCCTGGTGGTCCATCCCGGGAGCAGCAACTTCTCCCAACCCCCAGCTGGAAAAAAATCACTCCCGCATCATACTTACTCCCTTCGTTCTGATTGTCTTTGTTCGAGTTGTAGACCTGGAAAACAGAAATTGAAAACTTACTTGTGTGCACCTGCTACCGCGCTCTGGGTTTGCTGCAGATAAACATTACCTTCCCTCTTTCCCCAGTCTGTATCATAAAATGGAAGGTGATTTCTGACCCCCAAATATGAACCTCTTCGATAATGATGTTCTCTCCAGTGTCTACATTAACTGTTCTTTACTGTGTTCCCCTGTGGAACCTCACTGTTGAAAAAAGAACGTCATACTGCATCTTTTTTAGAAAAGCAAATACGCTGTGTATGTATGTAAATGAAAAAGGAGAGCATTTTAAAACCTAGGTACGAATCACTGGGCACGAACTGTATGTCAGGCCATGCACTACGCCATTCACAAGGAAGGGTTCCCACCAACATGAACAGCAGTCCTCTGGGTGAGAGGTGTCACGACCACTGCTTTACAGAGGGACGCTCTGAGGCCCACAGGGGTTACCTAAGGTCTCCTGGCCAGCTAAAGTCAAAGCCAGCACAGACACATTCCTGCCGGCTGAGGACAGGCCACTTTTCACTTAATACTCTTTTGTAAATGTGAATGTTGTAAGAAGAATATATTGTGTTTACAATAAAAAGCCCTTAAATGATTCACAGAAATCCTCAGCAGGGAAACGTCCCAACTTAAACAGGCAATGACATACTGCCAGGGTCAGCGAGGCTTTTCTGCAAAGGGCTTCACAGTAAACATTTGAGGTTTTGAAGGTCAAAAGGCAACATGCAGGCACCCACATAACAAGCATGGAAACAAATCCCCACAAAATATGTGCCGTCAAGTTTTAAGATTTATCATTGACTGGAGTTTTCGGAATAAAAGTCTCAACAGAAGAACTGAATTGTTAAAGAGAGACTGTGACATTTTATTTGAGGTGCAAAATTATATTCCCTATCATTATCAGCTGCACATTATCATCTGTACATCCCGGACTTGGCTTGTGGGCTATCCAAAAGCAGGTGACGGCTGGATGTGGTCTGTGGGTCACAGCTTGCCCACCTACGGCATGCTGTCATTACTGAATTAGACGCAACCTCTGCTTTGGAAAAGAAAAACCCAGTGCCCAAGCCCTTCTTTGGTGACCCTGGAGGTATAGAAAGGCTAAGATGAAGACGGTCATCATAACAGAAAACAGCAGCAGCAAATCCCACAGGGTTCTGTTGGCTTCTCTCCGTGAAAACCACTCAGCCAACCTCCAACTGAACCATGCCAAGCATCTAGGAAAAGAGCATCAGTAACCCCAAAAAGGAATTTTCACCTGCTAAGAAATTTGAGTGGGAATGGCTGGCAATGGTGCCATTTGACCCTGGATCCCCGTGCATCACTGAGCAAGTCTGTGACCCTCTCTGGGCCTCTAGTGCCCTGTCAGTAAGCTGAGGGAGGCACCCAAGAGGTCTCTGAATTATCAGACTCTAAATGCAGCAAGTCACAGTTTTACCATTACTGTTCATGTTCTAGAAACGACTGCAGCTGCGCAGCCGCTCCCTCCAAGCTAAGGGTAAGAGGGGTCCGCGTCTGAGCTTCAGGAGGGCTGTGGTGGGTGAAGAGGTATCCGGACACATGTTTAAGGTTCCAGAAATAAGGAGTCAAACGACTTTGACTGGCCCTCAGCCTCACCATCAGTCACTTCATCTTGCTCAACTTCAGCATCCTCAACTACGAAATGGGGTGTGCAGCCCAGTGGTTAACACCCCCGCATCCAGTGCAGCAGAGCCTGGGCTCAGGTCCCAGCTCCTCTGCCTCCCTCAGCTTTCTGCTAATGGGCCTCCTGGGAGGCAGCAGAAGCCAGCTCCCGGGCCTGGCTGCAGCCCTGGCTGCTGTGGACACGTGAGGAGAGAACCAGTGGATGAAAGCTCTCTTTCAAGTAGGAGGAAAATAAATAGATGGAGAAACCAATTAATGGGGGAGATGCTTATTCTGAGTATCAAGTAAGTGTGCAGAAGAGAAATATACTGAAACACAATGCAAGTGCAAGCACTATGGGCTACTCTACTGGGAAGAGAACATCCCATTCACAGAACGCACAGGGCAGGCAAAAATCTGGGGAGAGGGGAGCACACGGGCTGTGCTCATTTCTACCTGTAACGGAGGGAACATGGGTGCACGGTTGCTGGTTCTCTCTCAGCAATCTGTCTATCGTCTGTTCAACCGAGGAACCTGAACTAGAGCATGGTTTTCAAGCTGAGCTCTGCTATGAGAGGGAAAGGGCTGGGGAGGGAAGCTAAGACTCCAGGTAGCCAAATGCCCCCTTTCTTTGTTTCCAGCACTTTTATGTATGTGGCTCTCAACCACGGGATAGCGGCTCTGTAAAGTTGGAAGACTTCCAGTATTTTCCAAAGTTAGATGCAACTCATTTGCTTATTTGCTCTTGCACTTAACAAATATTTACTGACTGCCTATGATGGCCAGGCCATATTTTAGGTGCAAGGGATACAGATGAAGAAGACAGCTTTGAGCTCTACTTTCCATTCATGGAGAAAATAGAGACACAGATGCACAAACATGATCAGTTCAAATGCAAAAAGAGAGACAACAGACAACAGGACAGTGTGGATCTGAGGTGTGGGGAAAAGCTCTGAACAGGCGACATTTGCACGAGATCAGAATGATGAGAGGATCTCCTTGGCAAGACAGAGGGACACAGCGAATTTGAGTCCCTGACATAGGAAAAAGCCTGGCCTTCGGGAAGCAGGAGGGGCAGCGTGGTCAGCAATGGGAGGCAGCAGATGAGGACGGGCAGAGGGACTGCAGGGCTCTGTGATCTGTGAGTGGGATCCGAGTGACAGCAAGGAGCAGCCCTTTGCCGCTTTGGGAAGCTGGCTAAGGGAAGTTTTGGGAAGGGATACTATTATGGTAAGTACTTTTTCCATCCATCTCCAATCAATGCACTTCTCCCATTAAATTCAAACATTCACGACGATTTTTTATTTGAAAGGTAGAGATAGACAGACAGGGACTGATCTTCCAACCATTAATTCGCTCCCCAAATGTACACAACAACTGGGGCTGGACCAGGCCAGGCCACTGACAGGAACCAAGAACCAGGAAATCAATCCAGGTCTCCCATGGGGGTGGCAGGGACCCAAACACTTGAGACACCATCAGCTGCCTCCCAGGGTGCACATTTTCCGGAAGCTGGAATCGGGAGTGGAGCTGAGACTAAAGCCAGGCATTCTGTTATGAGATGCACATGCCTCACGTGTGCCTGCCCCTGCAGTCAAACATTCCATCCGAGAGAAACTGGCTCCTCTTTGCAGATGGCAGAAACCCAGAAGGAAGAGCAAAACGCAGGGCTTCCAGTCCTCCTTAATCAGGAGGTGAGTTTATGCCAAACTACTTTCCTTCAAGGTTCCCTGGGTCTCAGGAGACCCCTGCCGGGAACACCCAAACATTCCCCAACTGCAGAGCAGCGATCAACAAGCCCACGGACCAGGAACACGTGGTGCCCGATCCTCCGAGGCCTGGCCATCTATCTCTGTCTGGTTTGGGTAAATGAGCCCTGGAGAATGAGTTTTTAAATGAGGCTAACAAACCGTGTGTGCCAGCACTGCCTGATTACACAGCCTATCAGGATGGTCCCGGGTAGGGCAGCAGCCTCGGTACTGCAGAGGCCAGATAACGGCGAGGGAACAGCACAGGTGGGTGAGTTTGCATACTGAGTGCCACACCTGACATCTAACCCTTGCAGGCAACATACAGATTGGTCTAGTGGCGTGTCCACTTACAGATACAGGTGTGAGACCGTAGAGTTTACCCAAGGGTTCGGACTGCTGATGGTGTGTTACTCTTCTGTGCCTCCAGAGCGAAGTTCTGATCCTGCTTTGCCTTCCCCTGCCATGGCCACCACACACGGTTACCAGCTGCTCCACTGTGATGCTCCTGAGACCTTCTACACTGGCCAAGGGCACACAAATCACTCTCTAGAAGTGGTCAGCCTGCTCTGAGAGCTACTTCCACTCCCAGGTGCCCAGAGCTGCAGACCGAGGCCAGGGAGAGGAGCAGTGTGCTGAAATAGTGTGGCTTTGTCTTACAACTGGCAGAGTAAGTCAGGCTCCTCCACTTCCAGGTGGGCCTCGCCAGAGTCTCTGTCTTAATGGCAGGAACCCAACTGCCCAGTATCAACTCAAGGGGCCAGAGCCTCTCAACAATGCCTAACCAGGGCTCCTAAAGAGACTGAAACAGTTGTTTTTCTCACCAAAATAACTTGAAGTCCATCTTTCCTGGGCTGGCTTTGGGAGGCAATGGGTGAAGCCACTGTGACACTGGCATCCCATATTGGAGTGTCAGTACAAGTGTGCTAGTGCTAGCATACCTGCTACACTTCTGACCAAGGTCCTTGCTAATGTGCCTGGGAAGGCAGAGGAGAATGGCCCAAGTGCTTGGCCCCCAGATGCAGTTCCTGACTCTTGGCTTCAGCCTGGCCCAGCTGTTGCAACCATTTACAGAGTGAACCAAACAGATGGAAGGTATTCTCATCTTTCTCTCCCCCCACCCCTGCCTGCCTCCCTCCCTCTCCCTCCCTCCCTCCCTCCCTCTCTCTCTCTCTCTCCCCCTCCCTCCAACATTCCACTTTTCAAATAAATCAATATTTTTTTTAAGTGTATCTGTCGTGCTTAGCTAAGACCTGGCCACATGAAAGCCTCTCAGGCATCTAGCTTTTTATATTTGGAGGTAGCTATGCTCCAGTGGCTGCTGAATATTGAACACGGAGATTTGTTAAATGTCCACACCAGTGAATACTCAATTACATGCTTCTAGAAAACAGAGATTACGTGTGTTTATCTTATCAGTGTCCATCTGTGGGACATTAAAGAATAACCATGCAGTAATAATAATTTATTAATAATGATGAAAAAGCCCTGCTATCTGTCAAGACCCCCTGCCAAGCATTCTATAGACATTGTCTTGTTCGGTCCTCAGCCCACCTAAGTATTCCCATCATACAGGCAGTAAAACCAAGGCATTACACAAGCTGGGCCACTTGCCCAAGGT